ACATTTCCTCCAGACCAACCACCCTGCTGCTCTCAAACCCACACTTTTCACTTGCTCTTGCTCTGTGCTGTGTCTGTTTCCTTATTTCTTTTTGCCTCAAAGCATTATAATTTGCTTATAAACATAGCTATATCTCTGCACTGTAAATGACCATACTCTCTTCCCTATTCCCCCTCAAACCTTATATAGTTTAGTTTACATATGCGAGCTCAATTTCTTCCTAAGCCTCTGTATTGCTAATTCTTTATCTTTGCTGTTGCACGTCTATCTACAGCATCTAGAATAATGCTTGGTACACAGATGGCTTAGTAAAGAATGACTGAATAAATCTTTACAGTGTGATTTCCATCACTAATATTCTATTTAGACCACTGCCTGATCTTGATAGTGCTATATCCAATTTTTTCATGTCTGTATTCAACTGTCATTCTCTTAGTTGACATATTTCCTTTAACAGTTTATCACATTCCTCTTTTCTCCTTCTTTCTGCTGATTGTTAAATGATGTCCAAGTTCTATGTTTGGCCCTTTCCTCAGTTGCCATTCCCTATTCATTCCTTCAGCATATAATCCAACTATACTTCTACTATGGCCTCACTGCAGAAAACTCCTAATCTCTGTCTTCAACTCAATCTCTTGGTGAGTTTGAGCTCCACATTCCCAACTAGCTTCTGATTACCTCTATCCAGACATTTACCTAGAATTACAACTGAAATGTCTGCCTTTACTGGTACTGGTACCTTTCTCTTCCTGTGTGTCAAGAGACTAAGTCTAAGACATTACTCTGCTTCTTGTCTCTGCCATTCTTTTTTTTTTTTTTTTGGCGGAACCGCGATTGAACTGAGGGCCTTACGCTTGTCAGGGAAGCGCTTATTCCACTGAGCCATCTCCCCGGCCCTGTCTCTGCCATTCTTATCTCTGCTGTTCTAGTCTCAACTTTCTCAGTATGTCTGGCTGGAATTAGGGCACACTGCTGTTCTATTAGTCTTACTAAAAATCCTCTCCCTCCCTCCCTCCCTCTCTGTCTCTGCCTGCCACACTTGCAAAACCCCAAATACTAAATGAAGTAAAAAAATCTTGACCAATGATACCATCACAATGTATCCTTCCAAACTGAAACCAAGTTTCCACTGCAGTAGTACTAAGAGGCAGGGCCCTTTGGAAAGTGACTAAGTCATGATGGGTCTGCTCCTCTGTGTATATTCCTTGAGCCATGGGAGAACACAACAAGAACATACCTATAGACCAGACAGTAAATCTTCACTAAAGGCTGGAGCTACTGCTGTCTTGAGCTTGGATTTCCCAGCCTTCAGCACTGTGAGATAAATTTCTTTTTTTTCTTTTTTTTTTCCAAAATTTTATTGATAAACAGCAATGACACAGTTTCAAATCAAATCGGAAGTACAGTTTCAACAAATAACACACTGCATATATTCTTCTTAGTGGTTAATTGCTGTATAAGATGCGGACTTGAGATTCTATTTACAAACACCATTAGAACAAATCATTCTATTCATTAAGAGAATGCAAGATAAATTTCTATTATTAATAAATTGCCCAATCAAAGGTACTTTGCTATAGCTGTTGGGATACACTAAGAAAGCTGGGCACTGAAGACCTGACATATTTGTTCCTAAAGAACATTTTAGACTAATTTTCTGCTGACACTTTTTGTATAACCTATGACACATTCAAACAATATTGTTTCTAAAAGTAACTTATTTTGTTTTAAAAAAGAAATGTTATAATACCCAGTAACTAAAGAAAGCAGGAGATAATGTAGATGGCAAAAAATCAATTTAACCGATCCCTGTGAATTACATAACTCACTACGCAAGCCATAGCGAAAAGCTGTTATTCATTCAACAGTTGCTTCCTGTTCTACCATGAGCCAGGCATGATTCTATGAACCTGAATTAGAATATGGTGGATATGATATGTGAGGTTTCTTCACTCAGGCCCTTTATGCTCCAGTGGGATGAAACAATTAAGCACATAATGGAAGAATTTCAAAATCTGATAAACACTAAGAGAAATATTATAACAAAACACAGCATTGCTGTGAAAGAGTTAAGTACCAGAGAAAGAGAAAGCACATCAGGGAGAGTTTATCCTGGGAGGTGAGACCTGAGGTAGGACCTTTGTGGATGAAAAGGAGTTGGACTAAAGAAGGGCCAGTACTGCAGATTCTATCTAAAGGCCAGAAGAGGGTGGGGAAGGTAAAGCAGAAAGTACATGCAAGGTCTAGTGAGAGTTTGTGGGAGCAAACTTGCAAGGAATGTGAAGCAGGACTGATAGGCTGAAGAGAATGCCTGCAATAGGGTGTGATGGTAATGGCTTCTAGAGCAGTATCTGTTCCAAATAAAAATAATTACTACCTTTGCTGAGTATACAGGTGTCAAAAAAATAGTAATGATGTATTTCCTTAATTCATGCTACATTGAAATTGCTCTACAACCAGCAGAAACATTCAAGTGTGGATGCAGCCATAGCACTTTGCATGTAGGCTGCAAGTTTGCTCAAGCACATTTTTCACTGAATGAATGAAATTTACTAAATGTATACTATATGGAAGGAACAACAGATATGACTTCGTTTTCAATTACCTGGAAATAGACCTTGAAGAAATAAGTTTGCTGAACATCACCAAAACTAAAATGATATGGAATAAAGGGGTCAGCATAACCCAACATGCTTCCCTCTGCAGCAGTGACGTATGTATTCAGAAAGAAGTATCTGGGACAACAAAAGAGGAAAAGAATAAGGAATGTCAACGTAGAAGGATGGAATGTTAAGAGCTAATTCTACAGAGGATGATAGCTAGTTAGTGGAAGTCTCTTTAAGGTTCAAGAGACCCTGGCCTTTATCCTTAGTTCAGTAAAACACTACTGAGCCAATCATTTTACAAAGACAGTCTACCAAGTGAAGAATAGTTGAGAAGGAAAAGGTATAAACACTGCAAGTGAAAGGATGGTAGCTTCAACTAGAATACTGGCTCATTTACAAAAAAAGATGCACATGCTCGAATATCTAGGAGATAAAAATGTCCACTGGCATTTTTGGTCAGTGGAGTGGGCAAGACAGGAGAATCTGGCTGGCTTGGTTTATAGTTGTCGGATGAGGCTGAGAGGAACCTGTATGGGAGGGAAGTACACTGAGGACTGAACATGTTGGCATGCTTATAGATGGGTGTGTGAAATGATGAGTCTGGTCTTTACTTTTTTCTAGGTTCTAGACCTTAATAGTAGTAATTAAAGTTGCAAGAATGGTTGAAATTGCATAAGAATTTCTCACTGAGGTAAAAGGAACCAGGCAAAGCTGGAAAAGTACCTATAAAAAGCAAGTCTTAGTAAAACTCCTTTGTTCAAAGTTACAACACCTAGTGTACAGTTCAATGTTAAAATCTAAAGCATTTATGTGTGATTATTATGTCTTTCCTAATTGGTTTCCAACCTCCGAGGAGGCATTAAGTGTGCCTTCCTTGTTCAGTTTTTAAATATTACAACTTTAGTAAAGTTCAGCCACCACCCAGATAGTAAATAGCCTTTCAAAGTATTTCCTAAATGCTTCAACAATCAAGCTTATTTGCCCAAAAGAGATTACATTATCAAAGACATATTTAAATCCTGCAACTCAACAATAACAAATAACATATTAAGTGGACAAAAAAGGGATGAACTACTTCAACAGACATTTCTCTACAGATATACAAATGGCCAGTAAAAACATAAAAGATGTTCAGTATACTAATCATCAGGGAAATGTAAATGAGAACCATAAGGAGGTATCAACTCACATACAATAAGATGTTTACTATTAACAAGTATTGGAAAGGACACAGAAAACTAGAATCCTTGTACAGTGTTGGCAGGAATGTAAAATGATGTGGCTACTGTGGAAAACAGTACCGCAGATCATCAAAAAAACTGAAGATTCTACTTGTGGGTACATACCCAAAGGAATTAAAAGAAGGTTCTCAAAGTGGTGTTTGTTTAGAGGAACAGTATTCTTTTTTTTCTAATTAATTTTATTGAGAAACAAATAGCAATGATGCAGTTTCAAAACAGGTTAGTAGGACAGTTACAATAGTTAATATATTGCATATTTTTATCTTCATAGTAGTTATTCATAGTACAAGATGCAGACATGATATCCTGTCCAAACACTATTAGTACAAATCTTTCTCACTGAGTTAAGAGAAAGTAGCTATATATCTATCCTATTTTGTATATACAGATACATAAGGAAAATTATTTTTAATAACCAAAACCTTGAAGCAATCCAAATGTCTATAAATGCATGAAAGGGTAAACAAATTGTTCTCTATTCATACAATGGAATATTATTCAGTCTTTAAAAGGAATAAATTCTGGCACATACTACAACATTCATAAACAATGAGGACATTATACTAAGACAAATAAGCCAGTCAATATACTTACATGAGGTGTTTTAAGCTAATCTCACAGAAAGAAAGTAAAATGGTGGTGGCTATAGACTGGGGAAGAGGAACCTAAAATATTTGAGTCTGAGGTCTAAGACAACTCTAGGATATCTAAAGATTTACATTTCTCTGGGTTATTTCCTATAATATACAAGAGGTATATATGTTATTAAACATGTTTTTCTCTTGTTAATCCATCTGCCTTTGGTTATATGAGTTCTTAGTTAAGAACTCATGACAGCCATTTTATCTTCCTTACAAGTAAACATTCAGTGTTTACTTTTAAAAGTGTCTGATTTCTTCTGGTCAACATCTACTCACTTGGTTTATTCACTATCACTTATGTGACAAAGAAATGAATAAAGCAGTCTGGTTAAAAGGCAAAATTTGCTTTTTTTTTTTTTTTTTCTATTTTTTTCCTATTTCCCTTGGTTTACATACCACAATTCAAGTTAAAAAAGAAACAAAAACAAAAAACCTTTCAAAAATAATTACAATGAGCATAAGCAATTCATGAATATTTATCAGAACCAGACACACAGTAACAGTGTACTTACCTGCACAAGTGTGTCCAGTGTGAAGATGTGCTCTCCTCTAACATTATAGAACTTCACCATAGCACTCTTCAGAAGTGGTCCATTGGGGAGCTCACTGAGTTGGGTCTGCCGCTCCATCCCAGCAACTGCCAGTAAGTCTCCCTGTGTGCACCACTGGGCCACCACCTCTGAAACCACACAGAACAATAAGCATGGGAACATACCATTATGAGTCTTCAGAAATTCCAACTGTGGAGACATAGCAAAAAATATAGTGGCTCTTCCCTTCTCTCTTAGGAAGAAACAATGATCCATATCTCTGAAGACACGACTGGGGACTGCAATTCCCCGGAAACATAACTGAGGGAGAAACGCAGGCATAAGAAAGTTGGTTTGTTAAAGAGAGGCCCTGAGGTACATACCCGTAATTCCAGCTACCTGGGTGGCTAAGACAGAAAGATTGCAAGTTTGAGACAGCCTGGGCAGCACAGTGAAATGTCACTGTGAAGAATAAGAGAAAGAAAAGGAAGGAAAAAAGGGGGAAAGTATCCTTTTTGGTACCAGGAATTCAACTTGGGAGCTTGCGCTTGCCAGGCAGGTGTTTATGCCATTGAGCTATATCCCCAGCTCAGAAAGCTGGCGTATTAAATATCAATCTCTAATACTATTGTTTCTATCATAAGGTATAGAACTTTGTTTTAAAAGCAAGTTAAATAATAAAACCTATGACTGTATGTCATGTCATATTAGTGCTGTATTCTCCACTCTCACAGAAAGTTGAGTTTTAAAATGTTCAAAGTAAAAAGTTAATAAGCCAAGTTTAAAAAAAAAAAAAGTCAAGTTAAAGTAAAAGGCAAAGCCCAAATTTATTCATTTGATATCTGGGCACTACCACGCAGATAAAATTCAGATACAGGACATCTATACATATAAAGGCCCTGAGTTTAATTTGATACTTGACATTACAGTACATCATCATTGGAAACATCATTAGAAAAGACAAATATTCCTGCTAGGTGTAATATTTGTTAAAGAAATGTTCACAGTGAAGATGCACTGCCCACCTACAAACCACTAACTGCCTATTTGCTGCTAATGGTTTTTCTTATCCCAATGTCATTACTCAGTTCTTGCTGGCTTTTTTTTTTTTTTTTTTTTTAACCTCTTATTCTCCTCTGTTTAATTGTTTGCCCTATTTGGCTGGCTTTTTTTTTTTTTTAAAGTAATAGTATTAATAAGATCCACAGTAATTGTTTTTCTCTTTCTTATGACTCTGAAGTTACAATCTGTCTCATACAGAGTAATAGAGTTCTAAAATCTAGATCTAAGCAGCCAGCTTACTTTGCAGAGATTGGTCTGAATTTAAAGAAGGTGCTCTGCTATGACCAGTTCATATTTTAGACTTAGGGCTAGAATCCATTAGCTCTATCCAATAGAGCTAATTTTATGCTCTATCCAATCACAAATGACCATAATATGCCCCTTTACTTCATGTATAGAATTGATTCTAGTGCTAATACTAGTGCAGTCTGAAGTCACTGATATTCTTCTACTTTCCATCAAAACTGGAGAGGATTCCCTGAGACAAGATGGTCCCCAGTTCAGGGCTTTCTCATAAACTCAGCCATAGCAGAAACATGAGATAGAGGGCTGAATTGAAGCAGTTATACACAAATGTAGAGTGAAAAACTTCTATTCGTCTAGATTCTGAAAGTATTATAAATTTTTTAAATGAATGAAGTCAAATAAAAATCAGAAAATAAAAGAATAACTCAAAGAATTAAATCAATGTTCTCATGTCTTATTGAAGATTTTGAAGATGGAAGGGGAAGCTGGAAGATTTATGTATACACTAACACATGATCTGGCATATTTAATGCCAGATCTAGTCTACAGAAAAGCCTGGTCCTGATTACAAAACTGAAATGATTTTCTCTGGATGGCGGTGCTGGGCACACAAGAAAACCAAAAGAAGCAGCAATGAATAATAACTATCAAAGTGATAACAATGAAGACAATCTAAGAGTTCCTAGATAGGGATGTTGCTGCAATATAGTAGAAAGCATGGCATATCATATCTTTAGTGCTGCCATTTCCAAGCACTAAATGCTCAGTTCTCCTCCTATGACTTGCAAGTGAGTATATATAATGATTAGAACATTAATTTTTTTGTCGGTACTGAGGATTGAAGCTCAGGGCCTTTGTATGTATATTTGTTCTTCACATTGAGGGACATCCCCGCATTTTTCTTTCTTTTTGAGACAGCCTTGCTAAGACCCTTGCTTCAGCTTTATGGACGGCTGGGCTTACAGACATGTACCACTACCCTAAACACCTTTATCTTGAGACAGGGTCTTACTAGGTTAAGTTTCCCAGTCTGGGCTCATACCTGTGATCCTCATGCCTCAGCCTCACAGAATACTGTGTTTATGTTGTGTGCTACCATGCCTCGCTTATATATTGTTTTCTTTAAAATAATGTTTGAATTGTTAGAAAGTAGTTTTGAAAGGTAGAAAGTAAGCTGCTGTCCTGCCCCACTGGCCTGCACACACACCCAACATGCACAGGTACTGTCTGGTTCAGGCAAGAATGAGTCCAAATATGTGCCAGCAAAAGTCATACTGAGACAGCTGTCAACCACAAAGGCAAGTCTTTCTTTTACAAGGAATAGATTACATATTAATACTGCAATTTTTGTTCTACTAATTATAGAATCAACAGCATCAAGGGATGAGCAACAGATGTGGGCCCCTCTATCATTCAGTACTGACCATTCTTGGTCAACATGATAGCCACCCCAATTGCCAGGGAATGGGTTGTGGCTTAAGACTCTTACAAAAGGAACTTGGGAGCAGTACTAAGAAAGAATAATTTAGAATTGTCCAGTGTTGATCAAAGGTAGTGAGTACTCACAGGAACTGAGTTCCTATGGCCAGGGTTTAAAAGTCATAAATTAGTAGGAAAATCAAAATAAAAGCAAACAGTTTTCAGATATCACTAGGATGAAGAAGAGGATAAATCAGCCTAGATGTAATCAGAAACTTTGTAAACTATGTCATAGTTTTTTTTTAAAAAAATCTTTAATCTCTATGCATGCTTTCTGAAATAACTTTGCTTAAATTCCTAAAGATTTTATTCAGGGATACAACCAAGAAGAAACAAAGAAATGCTTTATTTGGTAATCTTCCTATCACACTATGTAGTTATTGGCATAGTGCATCTCTATTCTGGTTTATATCTAATCCCCCTCCACACACATACCTTCCCAATTTCATGTGTTCAGAGGTGGGACTTTTCGAAAGTAACTGGATCACAGGCCTCTATATTTCTAGTTGGATATACTGTTAGAAGGTGGAGTCCAGTTGCAGGTGAGCCACTGAGAGCACCTTTGGTAGGTACATCTCTTCTTCTGGCTATTTATGTGCCTTCTGGCTGCCATAGGTTGCAGCTTTCCTTACCTGGGCTTTCTGCCATGCTATTTCCCCCTGGGAACCAGGTAACCAAGCCAGGAGGACCCTCTAAAACTGAAGCAAATAACCTCTATTTCTTTAAGAGGCAAGTATCAGGTTCCCCTCCCCCCCCAGTGATGGAAAAGCTAAACAATACCATCTCTATCTAATGCTTCCCCCCACCTTGGGATTATTTGGGAGGTCCAAAGCATTCTAGGTGATTGATCCGGATGGTCCATCCTCTAGAATCACCTATTTTCTCTCAATGACTCTGAGTGTAGATGATGATGATGATTATGATTATTGACCAAATCTCATTGTGTAGCTTAGGCTGGCTGCTTATCTCAGCCTCCCAAGTACTGGGATTATAGGTGTACACCACCACCTCTGACCTGAGCACCCTAAACATTTTACAAAGAAAATCTGCATTGGCCAGAAGGTCTTACAGATTGTTTGGTAAATGTCCAGAGGGTCAAATCTTCATTATGTGGTCAAAAATAGAAAAGTTGGGTTCTTTACTATTAACAAGCAGGGTTTTTTGTTGTTGTTGTTTTTTTTTTTTGTTTGTTTTGTTTTTTGTGGTGTTAGCACTAGCTAAAAAACAGGTGGCCATGTTTCCCAGGAAAAAAGTGGTGCTCTTATCAGATAGTATACTGACTACACCCATGATGTGGGAATATGAAGTTAACCTAGTCTCCACTGTTAACAAGTCACGTTTTTATTAGTCACTAAGTATGCTTTTTTTTTTGCCTGTGTATATGCCCATACACATGTTTATGTGGAGTAAGACAGCAAGGAGGAACAATTAGCAAAATGTGTTATGGTAAGACGCTTTGGGTATGGACTGAAAAAGAGCACACATTAAATGAGGACAAACCTACATCAGGCCCAGTAACAGGAGTCACAAAATCACTGGCTGAAACCACCTTACCTCAAAAATTCTGGCTTGAAAACCGGATGTGTTCATACACCCCTATAATCCCAGGATTTGGAAGGCTGAGGCAGGCAGACTGCAAATTCAAGGCCAGCCTGGATTATACAGAGAGATTGCCTCAAAAACCAAACCAAATCAACACACATACTCCAGATTTTTTCAGTGTTGGTGAAATGAATAAAAGGAGAAATTTTAAACAAAGAAACAAAGCCTGTAGATTTGAGTGCTTTCATTTCAAGACATGGGACAAAATGAGACTGAAGAGGCTCTATTACTGACAGATGTTCTGGCTTGGTCAAAGGATCAGATCTTATAAAGGATTTATTTTTCCCCAAGAAAAAATATAAAAGTCACATCAAAGTTCCATAAACTCAAAGCCATAAACTAACTCACTGCTGCTTTTATGATGAGCAGACATCCCCAAGGCTAAGTTACTCAGCAGCCTTCTTCCATAAGTACAATGTTCTCATCATCAGCTACAAAGCAAAACCAGAGTTGCCTTCCTGAATTGCCCTGCTCAATAACATCTGCAGTGAAAACCAAGGAGATAGGTTGTATAGAAGGTGGCTGGTTATGGGGAGGAGTGAGTTAGAATTCTAAGTAATGTATGTGACATAAATTATACTACTGGTGATAAAAGGCATCACGAGTCACAAGAAAAGTTCTTGGGAGACAGAGAGAAAGACCAAGGTGAACAGAGATCTTTTTGGTCTTCCTCATGAGACAACTGGCCAGTTAACCTACAATAGGATAGATGACTAGGACCTTCTTTGATGGCATTTCTGCTCCTCTCTTCCCAGCATTTATTAAATATAGTTTGTAAGACAGTGGATACAAAAATAAATTTTAAAAACAAAAGTTACTGCTGTTCATATCACGTGTAAGACTAAATCTTCAAATACTGTGATATGCAGAACAAGGTAAAGTACCTGCATAACGAGTCTACTGAATGGGTATTGTTCACTTAACCTAATTTTCTGAAATTAGGAAGACAGTATAAAAATCATCTCCCCTCCAGAAAAAATTAAAAACATTTTAAGAGTAGATTTAGATTTCTAGTTAGGCATTGACTGGAATGTTCAATTTGGCTGAATTTTAGAGTAACAATTCAAGTTTAAAATTTTTCACATTTGGAAGGGCTACTTGGGTTACTTCTCCAGTGTGTTCCTGTTCCTATATCACACATTTGATAGAATGTGCTAGAAATACTGCTACAATAAAATGTGACTTGGGAGAGTACAAAGTTATATACTCAAAGCAGAATAAAAGTAAAGTGTAAACTGGGTATAGTGGTGCCTGCTTGTAATCCTAGGACTTTCTGAGGCTGAGGCAGGAGGACCAAGTGTTCCAATCTGCGTTGGGATTACAGGCATGCTTCATCACGCCCAGTCTCAGTCATCATCTCAGCATGCCCCAGGGGTGGGTCAGGCAGGGCTACAGACCAAGCTACAGACTTTTTGGATAAGCAGGTAAGCTAAAGGGAAAAATGTTCATTAACAGACTCCATTAAGCTCAAAGAGGTCACTGCAGAGGACAAGAATCAGTAAGTACTGGGTGTTTAGCACTAGCCCAGAAGATAAACATTTATAGGGCTGATCTGTGGAACTGCAGCGTAGCAGCATTTTGTACCTTTCAGCCCTGAGCGGATGACAGTGGGAGACAGGTCATCATAGTTGTTCATTAAGCTGATATCTCCTGAGGTGAAGCTGACAGTGAGCAGAGGCTTGATGTTCTGTACTGGGATGGGATATGCTGCAGGACCATCTGTGGAAACACAAGCACAAAGTAAAGAGATGGCAATAAGAACAAAGCCCAATCCAGGTGCCCAATGCCACACTTTAGTATTATGCCTTAGAAACTGTTTGATAATGTAGATCCCATTCTGGATTGGATTTGACCAAATGAAGTAGCAATCTGCACCACCTGGGAGTCACATAAGCCATCAGTGGACCACTAACACAAACCTCTAGAATGAGGAGCAGGACACGGAATATGACTCTCCAGAAGCAACTGTGTATGGGGTGGTGAGAACAGTATGAAAAGTTTATTAACTTATATGTTAACATATTGAGTTTCTAATTATGCATAAACCCAAACTATTTGGGGCCAGGAAGATAACTCAGCAGAATAAAAGCTTGCCTGGCAAGGGCCTGAGTTCAATCCCTGGTTCCGCCAAAAATAAATAAAATAAATAAATAAACCCAAACTATCATCATGTAACACTCAAGGATAGTAGGATGTCAGCTTAATTCTGATCCAACACACACAAAAAAGTTGCTTTCAACACTAAATGCTCTTTCCCTGTTACAGGCAATAAGCAGCATAGCAGCCACCATCAGTTCCTTCTTTTAAGTTTTTACCACTATAGGCATCATATCTGCAGAAAGCTGAAGTTGGATGTAGACCATAAAGCACTTTGCTACCTCCACAATACATGGGCAATGTTAAAAGACAATCCACCTTCCAAAGGAGTACTCATGCACAATGGGCTGTGGACTGGCTCTTCCATATACTGAGAAAGTAAAAGTCACTCTACACACCTTGTGAGTCAAGGCTCCTTCAGAAGATTCATGTAGGTGTTACAACCATGTTCAGCTTACCTCCAGCAGCCATCCAGGGTGATCTACCTGATACTCATAGGAAAACCCCAATCCCATTCTTGCTTTACACTAAGATAATACATTGCACTTTCCTCTCTGCTCAAATTCTGTAGGCCACCAAGAATATCAGTACAACTGAAAGGTAAGTATCAGTCATCTAAAGCACCTCACTTACTCTGAGAAGGGCAACTGGTTACACAAATATTAGTACTGATGGTTGTTTTTGATCAACTCTAGACTTGTTCTGTAAATTTAGTTGCTAATCCTTGTTTTTCCTAGTAATAAAACACACATGAGTAAATCCGGATTCAACTTACTACAGAGTAGTTCTGTTTTAAAATACACTGAGTCATATTATAAAGATATTGGCTTTATTACTGAAGGTGTTGAAATATGACCAGTACTTCATTCAAGACTACTGTTCACTAAGGAAAGGGATAATTACCTCACAAGTTGACTTATATTAGAAACTCTCTTTACTGCTAATCTTTTTTTTTTTTCCTTGTGGGAACCATACCTTTGTACAACCACATGTGTATGTCATTACCAAGTATAATATATTATCTTACTCTGTAATGAGAGAAAAGGGAAAGATGAAGACAGATATTGATTGTGGTGGGGGACACCAGCCCTGAACCAGGATGCTATGTCCCATGACAACAAAGAAAGCCCACAATTGTCACGTACATGCCCTTCAACTCAGGGGCACAGAGCAGCAGAAGCATGGCTATGCTGACAAAGGACAGGAGCCTACAATGATGGGACCACTTCTAACCCAGGAGCCATTCCTTTACAAATATTAAGATAAATTTTTCTAAAACTGAAGAGGTGGGAGCAAGGGAAGAATACTGTAGAAGGGCCAATGCAAAGCCCTGACAATGGCTAGCTTGGTATCAATGGGTTTCCTCTACCTTTTGGAGGGTGGGGGTGGGAAAGGAGGACAGGGAGTGGGAGTAGATGGGTATGTCTGTTATTTGAGAGATGAAACACACTGCTGGTTGTAAAGGAGGTTGATGTTTGAAATGATCCCTACCAGCAGTATCTAACACCATAATGAAGTTTATAAAGGGGTGATGGAATCTTCCGTCCCAAGGAGAGGAAAACCTTCTGCCTGAGTCAGGAGAACAGACAAGGGGATGAGGTATCAGTCCCAGGTGCTAGTCTTTGGTGGGCAAAATTAATCCCTTTCTCATGAAACTAAAGCTATAGGCTTTAATACCATTAGGATTTAGCTATTGTTTTCATCTTTAGCTCTCCTCTTCTTTTTAAAAAAATCTATCTGGTACAGGGTCTCGCTACACAGCTCAGACTTGTAGTGATCCTCCTGTCTTAGCCTTCCCAGTGCTGGCATTACAGGCATGTGCCACCCCACCTGGTTTTGGTGGCTGGCTTAGCACAGGGCCAGCACCGCAAGTGGTACCAGGGATCAAACACAAGTCTTTGTGCTTGCCAGACAGGCATTTAGAACACTGAGCTATCTCCCTGGTCCAACTCTTTTTTTCTTGCTAAGCAGCAGGGCCATACAATATCATGGGGACAAAGGAAGAGCTGTATGTCTCATTTTATATCTAGGAAAGTCTAAGCCCATGAAGCATAATCAACTCCACCAGTGATGTGGAGGAAAGAAATAGCAAAGAAGAGTCACATTAAGAAACAAGATTAAATTAGCTGTGCCTTACATTTCAGTTCCAGAACTCTTCCTAGTAAGTGGCTATGAGGACCCTTATTCTTCCTTCTCCAAACTGATTTGTTTTTCAGTATTCTTGTATTTCCTTATTTTAAATGACAAGGAAAGTGAGGGGCCAGAGAGCTGGGTACCTTGGGGAGGGGAATAGTCATCTGAGTCTGTGTCACTCTCGCTGCTGTCTTCCACCAGGAAGATAGGATAGTTCCAGGACATGCTGAGGATTCCGTCGAACTGGTGCAGGAGGACATGGGCCAGCATCCTGCCGTGGCAGTCCATGACAATCACCTGCCCGTCAGCCGTGCCAAACAGCACCTGCAACCGAGGAGGACCAGGACCCTTGACTGAGTAAGAGGAAGTGCTATGGTTTCTGGCAAGCCTTGCTGCCTCAATTTGTTTTAGGAGGACAAATATATTTAGAACTAAAAAAAACAAGGATAAAAAGACAGTTAAAAGTTACTGAGAGATGACACAAAACATTAAGCAGAAGTTTAGCCATTGGTCCAAGAATTTTAGATTATTTTTACTTTTTTTTTTTTGAGACAGAGTCTTGCTGTGTATTTCAGGTTGGCCTTGAGTTCACTATGTAGCCCATGCTGGCCTCAAACTCCCTGTAATCCTCTTGCCATGTGCTGGGATTACAGGTGTGCACAACTATACCCAGTGAACACTTCTAACATTGATATGTAACTGAAAAAATAATGACTATATTATGCTGTAAGGACATTTGTAAATTATACCTACAAAATCTTCGTTTTTGTAGTTTTTAAATTTTTTGGTTCAACAGGGATCAAGATAACATTATTTCACTTTTCTGAAAAATGACACAGCAGAGATTTGTTGGTGTGATTTTCTTAAATCTAGAAGAATATGTTTATATTTGACTAAAGAGAATGTAAACTCTTGTTGCATAGGTCCCACTATACCTTGCTCTTAACCATCCAGCAGAAAAGTATAAAAACGAAGTATAAGAAGTAAAGCCATGGTGTTATGTTGAGCTGTAGGGGACTCAGGTCAACAATTTCTGACATTGCCAGTCAAGTGGAAGACCCAATACTATTATGGACTACTGAACTCTTTTAGGATATTTTACTGAGTTTACACACCTATAATATTTAAATGATGGAACTTAACAAAAAAAGGGGATACAGATGAATGTCCATTTTGTATCTGTGTATTCAAAATGGTTAGGATAGATATATAGTTACATTCTCGTAATGAATAGAGCGATTTGTTCTAATAGTGTTTGTAAATAGGATATCAAGTCCGCATCTTGTACAGCAATTAACCACTAGGAAGAATGTATGCAATGTGTTAATTACTGAAACTGTCCTACTAATTTGATTTGAAACTGTCTCATTGCTATTTGTTTCTCAATAAAATTATGGGGGAAAAAAAAGAGAATGTAAGCATGCCATCTAACCATATTTGGAAATCAAGATGCTCCTGAAGTACACTGACTGATTGACTGACTGATTTTACATTGCCAGGGATTGAACTTGGTACTCTGCATTTGCCAGGCAAGCACTTCTGCTGCTGAGCTATATCCCCAGCCTAGTAGTTTTATCTCTAATGCATACTGAAAGTGCTAATTAATTAGCTAACAATTTTTTAATGATGTATGGATGGGATTAATATATTCACTGTATGCTTGCTTTGTGCTTATATATGATGCTAAAAATTTTCTTGCATTAATTATCAAAGTAACAGGAACTAGGATTACAGGAATGCAACTCAGTTGGGTCTGATGCATAAGTGTGCTGAGGGCCAATCATGGGAACTTCTTTTTATTACCTGACCTTGGAGTACACATAGGCTTGTGTTGGGGGAGGGGTGCAGGCAGGCACACAAACAGAACTAGCGAAGCTTCAGGGCAGAAGACTGCCTGGGTCAGTCCTTTCCCTGAGGATAACATGAGGCATCTCACAGCTGATGGACAGATCATTTGAAATGAGTGTGTTACCAGCTGGATATTCTGATAGGAACTTGGGACCCAAAGAAACAGGACTGCATTGTCTTCTTTGTATGATACCTGCTTAAGTTTCTTGCATCTAAATTTAAAATTCTGTTTTTTTTTTGTGTCTAGTAGGTTTTATCTATCCATCAACAATTCATTATAGCAACCATACAAATAACTTTCTCCATTTTATAGACATAATTTAGAAGGGGTCAAGTAAGCTGACAAAGCCCTGAAGTGGTCAAGCCAGGGCTGTCTCACTAGAAAGGCTAGAATTCACATATAAGGCAATTATCTATAGGTTTTCATCCTTGTTTCCTTTTGCTCTTGAGATTTTGATGTTAAGCTCCTTGTAGGTAGATCACATAGCTGAATTCCTGAAACCTGACAGAACTTCTGAGCACACATAGGTAATCACTGAATATTTGCAAAATGAATGAATTTAAATAAATGATAAAAGGCAATTTTAGACCATAAATGCTGGATGACTGACAGATTATTTGCAAGACAAGATATATTTCATTTAGCTTGTAAAAAGCATACAGGATTTACAGAGCTTTTCTAGAATAAATCACTCATCATCTATTTTTTTTATATATGATCTAGGTTTTAGTGAATAAACTTTTTTCTTTCTTTTTTTTTGAGACAGGGTCTCACTATGCAGTTCAGTTGGCCTTGTATTCACTTTTTTGTAGCCCCCAGAGTGATCTCAAACTCCCAGAGATCCTTCTGGCTTAAACTCCTGAGTGCTGGGATTATAGGCATGTATCACCATACCTGGTTCTGGGGCCACACGGTAGGCTCCTGTATCTGGGCTAAAGGTATGCCTGAGCATTCAGGGCCAAGCCCATATGGTATGTGGGGCCCAGGATCAAACTCGGGTCCTTGTGTTTGCCAGGTAAGTGCTTATGCCTCTGAGCTATCTCTCACGTCCCAAGTAAACAATTTTAAAAGGTTAAATCTCTAGCATGGTGCTGCACATTGATGCCCAAATGCTAATTCTAGTACTCTTGAGAGGCTGAGGCTGGATGATGTCATGTTGAAGCTTAGCTTGGCAACTTAGGGAGAACTTGTCTCAAAATCAATCAAACAAACAAATAAATAAAACATCAAACAACTCTTCCCCCTAAAAGCCCCAAAACAAAAGAGCTGGTGATGTAGTTCAGTGCAAAATCTTGGGTTCAGTCCCTAGAACCAATAAATTAGGTTTAATTACATTAAATTAACCCCAGAGGCTAAGTGATGTAGAAGGAGCAGGCTTTCTTCTCCCCTTTTCATGTTATTAATCATTTGCTCATGTTTTCATAAGTATCTTCATGCCAGGTGAAGGGGTTATAAGATTTTATGTAACTCATTAGTATGAAAGCAAACTCTAAGGTCTCCCCACCCTAGAGTCTTCCAATCAGTAGCTTTATTACTGTTCCCCTAACTTTACTATGTGATTTTAAAATTTCTGTCTCATTCTCATGTTAGCCTATAAGCTTCAGAGGACATAGACTGCTATGGATTAAATATTTATGTTACAACCCCACAGCACCACAAGCACATACTGATCGTATTTGGGGTGGGGCTTCTCAGAAGTCATTAGGTTTCAAGGATACCATGAGGGAGGGGGCTTCCATGATGAGATTAGTAACATTGTAAGACAGAGAGATATCCAAACTTGCATAATTTCCCTCTGTACAACCATGAGGAAAGGTCATATGAGGATAAAAGGGAAATGGATACCACTTGCAAGCAGAAAGGGAATCTTCACCAGGAACTGAATTGTCAGCATCCTGGTCCAAAGCTTTTCAGCCTCTAGAACTGTGAGAATACATGGTCTATCATTTTAAACCAGTCCACGGTATTTTATTACAGTAGTCAAGATGAGATGTGAACCATATGAGCTTTGTACACAATGTCTCTATCATCATGTGTGAGGTCCACTGAAGTGATTTTTTGGGGGGGGGTATGGGGGATTGAACTCAGGACCCTACACTTTGCCAGGCAAGCGCTTATTCTACTGAGCTATCTCCCCGGCCCTACTGAAGTGTTTGTGATGGGAGGAAGGACATGCTTCTGCATAGAGTAACACATATTTCCATTTTCAAGAACAAACAGATACTGGACAGAACAACAGACATATAATCCCTGAATAAAAGACTGAATATGAATTCTCAATGTTCAGCATCACACTACACCAAAATAGGACAAAATCCAAACCAAAACCAAAACAAAGCCAGCCCCTACATCCCCCACTCTGAATCTATACCAACTACAGGTTCATGGGAACACAATCCACTACTAACACAGGAAAAAATGAGAAAAGCAGCATTCACAGTCTAGTTGTCAGCTATAATAGAGGAAGTTTCTCTGTGTTAGAACAAGTATGTCACAGATAGCTAAAGAACATTGATATACCATGAAATCAGATTTTTAAAAATCCCCATTACAATTTCATGCATAATCAATGATGGCCTATATAAACTTCCTGCTTCCTCTGGTGGTCTGTCTGTAAGCTTCAAATAAGGGGAGGTACAATGTTTCTTCTGTGATACATACACCAAGACCCCATAAGCTGACAGATATGTATGGGTCAGACCAGACCTGCTTAAGTATCTATTTCTGTGTTTCCAGCTTTGAATATACTCTGCAACTTGTAAAAACAATAAAATTGTGATATCCACATATAATTTCATTTCAATATAATAAATCATAGGCTATTTTTAGCTTTTTTTTTTTTTTTTTGGACCGGGAATTGAACTCAGGATCTTGCACTTGCCAGGGAAGCACTTATTCTACTGAACTATCTCCCCAGCCCAATTCAATTTTTTTTTTTTTTTTTTTTTGCAGAACCGGGGATTGAACTCACGACCTTTGCACTTGCCAGCGAAGCACTTATTCTACTGAGCCATCTCCCTGTCCTCAATTCAATTATTTTTAAATAAACACAATTATCATCAGTAAACACAATTATTATTATCATCTGCTTAAAATGAACAAAGCCACAAATCTAAAGGGACATGAAGAGAGAATCTTAAATCATTCCAAGGATTTTGCTTTGGAAGCAGTGGTATCTCATCAGTACCTTTATCTCTGAACATGAGACTCATCTACATTCTTAAAACCATATTAAGAAATTTAAATAAAAAAGATCCTATAAACATTCACCCCTTTTATCATGATGTGTAACTACTAGCATTGGAACTGGTTCCTGAAGAAGTTAGTTTTTTCCTGTTTGCTTTTCTAACTTTTTTTTTTTTTCTTGAGACAAGATCTTTCTAGGTAGCTCAGGCTGAATTGAACTGGTGATCCTCCTGACTCAGCCTATCCAAGTGCTAGGATCTCAGGCATAGACCACCAAGTTCAGCAGCTT